AAAACGGAGACATTTAGTCGCAGCGTCACTATATAATTGCCGCCGGCAGACTGTTACTACCTATCTTCTCCGCGTTTCGTCGCCGCTGTAAATAATAGCGGCTCCCACAGATGCGTTGACTTGACGCTAGCGTCAAATATTATTATTTTTAACTCACCGTTGCTGACCTGGCATATATAATCCTTTCATATTTTGTTGCCGCTTAAGGTTGACGCTGCGTTATCCATCCGAACAGGGCTTTAATTTCTGTCTTTTCCTATTCCTTTTTCGTTAAGAATTTATCTTTGTGGCTCACAAATTATCTGCCTCTTCACTTAATATATGCTACAAAACCTACTTGTAAGTAACTCCTCTGCTAGCTTCACATCATGTTTTTATTCCGGGAACATCAGGTAGAATCTAATGTAATGGCCATCCACTCTTTAGCTCTTCTCTTCTCATTCACTTTCAGAAGAGAAGCGAAGAAAGAAAGAGTTTTAAGCATGGAGAATGATTTTACATTCAACATAAAGTCATCAAAAGTATGAGCTACATCAAAACTCTTTGATGGTACGCTGTCAAGAACGTGAATTAGGTAGTCTAATGATAGAAGTGGAAACATAAATAATCACTTAGGTAGTTATTATTTTTTTGTTTTTGTTTTGTTCAAACTTTCAATTTATAGATTTCACTCTCCCTGAATAGAGAGAATGTTCACATGATACGAAAACATAACCATCTTAGCCAAAGAAACACTTAATACAAGGAAGCAAATACATCAAAGAAAAATAGGAGCAAACACCACACTTAAACAACGAATGACGTAAAAAAGTCATCTAAACTCGACGACCATCAAGCTGATAAGTGAGAGGAATCCTTGGAAGTTAAAGACCACAAACAGTGATATGTATCCCGAGAAAACAACAACCAATGCACAATTAACAATCTTTAGCATGACTAAACAACCTTTGATTAGAACTTCAATATTTGAAGTATCTCTAATCTTTAACATTAAACTCCTTGTACCAGAACCACATAAAGTAGTTGATGAAATTGGAAAAGTAACAAGCTCCATAAAAAAGGAACCTGGATAATACATGTCCAATAAGACCCGATCGACGAGATGAATGGAAATGTGAGACATTAATCCATCAAGATGCCATAGCTGAACACAAAAGGACTTGAATACCATAACGGTAGAACTATACAACACAGTAAATGGACTCCAAACTGCAGTCAAATACCTCACCAAAGCGAGATCCACAGACAAAACACGAGGAAATCCAAGATACCAAGCCAAAGATATCTACGCATCACTAAAATTTAAGTTCGAGAATCTCTGAGATAAAATCTGGTTTAGTAGGAGATGAGGGGAGAACACACTCAGAAGATTAGTGTTTTAAAAATCGGTTTTATCGGTTCTTGCATTGCATGTACATTCTCTAAACATAATAGACATAAACCGAAATGATATTAAACAATTTTTAAAAATCGGTTTAAAATGTGCAGTTATGCTATAGTCAGACAGAATGAGAACATCTAAATGTCTAATTTAGACGCTGCCAATTATAAAACGTCTAGTCCAACTACTTTGAACATTGAAAAAATTGTAATCAGTTGTTGAACTGGTTTAAGATTGATTTTGGCGGTTTTCATTGGTCAGGCGGAGATTTTTAATTATCTAACCGATCGAATTAAACCGAACAAACCGCTTTTAATTTCGTTGGTCCATGACACTTAACGTACAGGTTGGTTTTCCTCGTGGTCTGCTGTATCTTTAAAGCTGTACCAAAAATAATAATAAAAAATTAAAAAGCCAAAAAAAAAGACAGAACACGAAGAACACAAAAGCTAAAATCCCATTCTTACCCTTTTAGTTCTTCTCCTCTCTCTCTCTCTCTCAAACATCTCTCTCGGTCTTCTTCCAAAAGTCTCGAAAAGCTCCTGCGATGTCGTGTCCTAGAGACGCCATAACATACAACGCCACGCGCTGCGCGTGCGGAATCGGCCAGCTTCTAAACCGGAGCTCAGGAACCTGCGAGCTCTTCGGCTGGTCGTCGACGATCTCAACAGACAAAGACGTCAGCTACAAAGGAATATCCTTCGCGGAGACGCTCTTCGCCTTTGACAGAATCAAGAAGTTCACTCAGTCTCAAGCTGTGTTCTTGGAAGCAACGCTCGTGATGCTTCTCTCGTGGTTACTCTTTTGCTTCTGCCTCAGATTCACCAAGCTTGGAGACGGTCGTAACATCTGGTTTAATCTCCGTTGGTGGATTACTCGGCTTGATTTCTTCTTCTCCACTAGGCATTGGCTCGTTAGTATATACTTCTTACTTCTTTAATTAGTTTGCTTTCTCCATGAGGTTTTTGCATCACTTTTTGAATCTTTTTTTTTTGCAGGATGATCAGAATGTTGTGAAGAAACGTAAGACTGAGCTTGGTGGAACATTCTCTTTTGCTAGCTTGATTGTCTTCATAGGACTATTCGCTGCGTGAGTCTTTTTCTCTATCCTTAAGATTCAAAGCTTTTATAATGTAAAGATCAATGAGATTCATTGCTTATAGAGTCTAAAACGATTATTAGGAGTTAGGATAGACTGATTCTTTATTTATATAGCAAATGATTCGTTACAATGAGAGTTTGGTAATATAGGTTATTACAATGTAAAGAAACTTACTTGCTTTTCAGTATTTTCACAGGTTGCTTTACCAAATCATAACCAAGAGAACCATTGAAGTTCACAACGTGAGAGCTACTGGTTCTCCAGACTTAATCTCATTCGAAAACGATCTGGAGTTCAACATCACTGCTGTCTCCGACATGAGCTGCTCCAACTTACGCGGTATAGGGAATGTGGTAACCGGTAATCCAGGATTCAGCGAATTCAAAGTTGCTTCTCTGTCCAGTCTTGGGAACTATACTTGTAGGAACACAACTTCAGGACCAACTGTGAACTTCAAATGTGTCAGATGTCGTCTCACAAACGACTACATCTACATCTCGTGGCATTTCGTTGACATTCCTGGTTCCCCTGCAGCTGCTGTTGGGTTTCAGTTTAACTTCACTTCTAAAAACGGTGCTGACAAGAAGAAGCATGTGAGTTTTGTTAGTGGTATTTTGAGAAACGGGAGTATACTTGATGAAAGACCGGTTACTTTTCGTGGGAATGAAGGGAATATAATGAAGTTTAATCTGTTTCCAAGGATTTATCATCATTTGGAGGATCTTAAGCTTATACAACCTCTGTTCCATGAGTTTATCCCTGGCTCGGTTTACCGAGAAACTGCTCAGCTTCAAGCTTCTTTGGGGAGGTCAACAGATGGCATACTCAACACTACACTGTTTATAAACTATTTGTCTTCTTATATTGTTGAGATTGACCATGAAAATATACTTGGTCCTGGTAAGTAACGTACCCTCAAGTCTTAGTAGTTAGTTCTTACCAACTAGAGAATGCTTATAACTGAAGTATCTTTTTTTATTCATTATCTGTTTGCTGTTTTACAGTTAGCTTCCTTGCTGATCTTGGTGGTTTGTATTGCATCAGTATTGGTATATTTTTCTACATACTAGTGCAGGTTTGAAGCCTTTCCATCTTCTTTAATGTTTTACCTTTCTCCGCATGCTTTTTTTTTTCTCTCTTAAAGAGCAAAATGCATGAAACTACTATAGCATTTGAAGATATTAGTAACTTTCTTTAGTCCTCATTGAGCATATCCTGTATGGTGGTAGTAACTCGGTTCTTTACATAGTGTGAGTACAGGATCAAGAAGCTGCGAAATGAAGATACAGTATTCAGGAGGATACGTAAGCGTCGGAAAGCTCTTGACCATTGGGATAAAGTAACTGTTTTCTCCCTTCTTCTTCTTCTTCTTCTTGCAATGTTGTCTTTTCCTTATTATGAGTTGCTCATAAGAATACTCCTTGTTTTAGCTGAGAAGATATGTTGCATACACATACGATTGCCGCATATTGGGTGATGACGCCATCAAAACGACAAAGGTGTCAGCACTCTGTGGCTTGGCGAAACCTTCAACATCTCCTTCAGAATGTGGATCATCAAGAACCAATGTGCAGCATTTTATCATGTCGGCTAAGAAACCTGGCTTAAGCATTGAGAAGGTAACTAACTAACTAACTATTATCTTTTGTGTTCCTTGAAAAATTCTTAATTGGTTTATTGTCTTCCAGAATGCAACTCCACAACCTGCAAGCATAGAAATGAGACCTCTAGATTCAGCTTCTTCTTTGGCTCATGGAGCTAATATCTCTGAAAAGAAGAGTATAAGCCAGTCTTCTCAAAGTCATAACAGTGACGATATAATCCCTCCACCTCCTTCAATGGGTATGGCTTAACATTTTCTACCATTGTTTATAACTTATCATCAACATTGACTAAAAATTCTGAGACCTTGGACTGGTACTGTTACTGTTGCAGAGTTCAGTGAAGGTTCTGGTTCAGAAGTGGACGCAGTCGACATCAAGAAGAAATTTCAACTTCTGTATGACTACAATGTATTGCTTAGGGAGAAACTTTTAGACACTCATTCTTTGCTCAATGCTTTGGGTGCCAAAGCATCATCATCATCATCTTCAACCACGAGACACAGTGCTTAAAAACCATGAGGTCGCCTAACAAATATTGTTTGTATTCTTATTTGTAACCCCCTCCCAAATTTATTTAGAAGAAACAGGAATGACTACTACTGCTTGCTGTATCTTTGTGAATATGCTAAATTGCCAGTAGTAGCAAAAATATATTGTCATCATCATCAAAATTAGTCAAGGCTTACATTATTGAAAGTCTCATAAAAGCATATGCTTATGATTAGATAAAAGGAGAAATAAACATGATGATAAATGCCTGAGACATGATAATAAGCTTATAAAGTGAATAAAGGAACCTGACAGCAGAAGATAGATTCATTGGTTTTAACTTTTAACTACTTGAGTTAGTCCAGAGCTGGATCCAGTTAACCATAGCATCAGCAGCTTGAGTAAAAGCAGGATCATCTGAACCTTACTGCTCTTTCACCGCTTTAGCAATCTCAATCACACAATCTTCAACCTTAAGTGCACTCTCAGACAACTTCAAAGACTCAAAAAAGGGAACACTCTTCTCCATCAAATCAACTCCTTCCCATTTCTTCCTCAAACTCTCCACAGCATCTCTTCTCTCATTCCTCCACACATAAGGCAATCCTGGTTTCACACCATAACCCAAATGATCAGAGATAAGTTTCAAACACATCCCACACCAAACATCTTCAAGCGTTTCCCATCTCACTTTCCCTTCTCCACCCAATCTAAGCGCAGGCACCAAAGCTGGACCAACCAACTCACGGTTAAAAGCAATGTTTATCCCACTAACCGGCAGCATAGCCTTGAGAGGGACAGTGATAACCGCGTCGACGTAGGAAGTGTTTCTTTGCTCTGTCTTGAGAGCTTGTGTTGGAGCATCAAGATCAGCTAAGTTAAGCCAAAGTCCACAGGAAGCAGCACATGGGACACCACTTCTAAGAAAGGTCTCCAACTGTTTAAAAATGGTGTCAGGTCTGCGTTAACAGCTCCAATGACAATGTCAACCTCATCCTTGTTTATCTCAGCCATCTTTGATCTTCAAAGAATCTACTAAGCAGTACGAGATAACTTTTAGGCTTTCAAGTATCAAAGTTCTGCACATTACACCAAATAGCATCAGAAAGTTCAAATCTTTCCACAGGAAAACAGAGGTTTCAAAACAAATTAAGGATAAAAAGATTAGTTTTTTAGATCACATCACACGTCAGTGACTATTAGACAAATAGAATCTAATCAAAACACACTGACCCCACATAGATTATTTAAACATAATCATAGATTAAATCTACTGAGATCATGCTATTAACGGAATAACAGAATCATATGGTCTAATACCAAACAGAGCAACAACAACACCAAAGTACTTCACTTTTGTTACCCTGAAAGAATAAAAGAAGTGGCACAGATCAAAACAAAGCAATACGCCCAAGTTTTATGATAAAGAGACGGAAAAGAAGATGGACCTAGCTTTGGAGAGAAATGTCAGCAGGTGCGAGGTAGGGATAAACACAAACACGTGTGTGTGAAAATTATGAGACTCGAATTCTAATCAATCAAAAGAACCCAAAACCGGATATAACCGATTGGTCTGATGTTGGGATCAATTAATTTACAAAGTTTTTGGTTTGGTTTGGTTTGAACCGGTTTCAATGATAGATACTTCCTCTATTTGAAATTGTCAAAAACACTAATATTAAAAATTGTTTGCCTTATTAAAAAGTATCATTTAGTATATAATTTTAACTAAACATAAAAAATCCTACATAATTTAATTGATTTAAAATTACTTAAACTGTGAAACAAAAGATTCGTTTTTTTTTAATGAAAAACAGAGTAGTAGTATTACTCAAAATACTTCAGTAATGGATATAGTACTCAGAAGTCAACACCCTTGTCTTTATTAACGTAAGTTTCTTTAAAAAGTATTTAGAAACAAATGAATCTGGAGACCTTTTTAAAAAAAATTATAGCTAACTAAAACTAGAATTAAAATTAGAAAGAAGAAAAATGGTAATAAGAATGGATATCCATGCTTTAAGGGATTTAAAACAAAAGTTGCAAAAACAGAAAAAAATAGAAATTGTAAAAAAGAAAACAAAAAAAAAATAACGTAGCCTGCATGTTCCCTCCCTTCTTCTCGCATGGTTCATCGGAGAACTTTAATGTGTTTCACGTCATTCTGATTGGCTTCAATTCTTTCCTTTTTCTCTCTCTCCCTTTTGCTCTCTTTCCTCTGTTTCGTTTCATTACAATCTCCAGACATTTCTTCATCATTAACGTGGGTCCTTCACTCTCTTGAAGGACCCCACAATTGTTAAAATTTCCCTCTTTTTCTTTTTTTGAATTTTTAGGCTTTTAGATTTATACATAATGATGAATTGTTTCCCCTGTTTCACTTCAAAAAAGAGTAGTAATCCACCTTCTGGAAACGAGACTAACGAAAACGATGAACATGAATTCAAACCACCACCTGGTAATCATCACATTTTGTAATAAGATAAGATGTTACCTTTCTTTATCCATTTAAAAAAGAAAACATTTTCTTTGAATTTGGTTTTAGTTGCGGCGGTAAAACATATAGAGGAAAGAGAAACAGAGCAACCACCGGTTAAAACATTCAATTTCCGGGAACTAGCGTCTGCCACCAAGAACTTCAGACAAGAATGTCTTCTCGGAGAAGGTAGTTCCGGTAGGGTTTACAAAGGAACCCTTCAATCTACTGGCCAGGTTTGTTACCATTAATTATATCACACTATAACTGACTAGAAACACCAAAAACAATCAAATAGTTAACGTTTATTGCTTTTGTGGAGTGTAGTTGGTAGCTGTAAAGCAGCTAGACAAACATGGACTACATGGCAACAAAGAGTTTCAAGCTGAAGTCTTATCATTGTCCAAACTCGAACACCCAAATCTCGTCAAGCTTATAGGTTACTGCGCTGATGGAGACCAACGTCTTCTAGTCTTTGAATTCGTCTCTGGAGGCTCACTTCCTGACCATCTTTTCGGTATAAACATTTTTCACTTTGGATCACAACTTTAGTCTTAGTTTGGAAAGAGTGATGATGATACTATTTTGTATATGCAGATCAAGAGCCAGGCCAGAAGCCCTTGGATTGGCTCACGAGGATGAAGATTGCCTTCGGTGCAGCGCAAGGACTAGATTATTTACATGATAAAGTGAATCCACCGGTGATATACAGGGACTTGAAAGCTGCAAACATCTTGTTGGATGATGAGTTTTACCCTAAGCTTTGTGATTATGGTTTGAATAATTTAGCTCCCGGGGCTGGTGATAGCATGTTTCATTCTTCATGTGTTATGGACACTTATGGTTATTCCGCTCCTGAGTACACTAGAGGGGAGGATCTTACTGTGAAGTCAGATGTTTATAGCTTTGGAGTTGTGTTGCTTGAACTCATCACTGGTAGAAGAGCTGTTGACACTACTAAACCTAATGAGGAACAGAATCTAGTTGCTTGGGTAACACTCCACACCTCTTCCTTCCGACACAAGATATGATGTTTTTTTTTTTAATTGTAAACTGGGACGACTAATACCGAGGACATGGCGTAAAGAATCTCTCCCAACGGGAATCTAACTTGGGGGATAATGAAACCAATTTCAAATATTAAATCACTAGCCCAACGCACCAACATGGTCGAGCATGCTGAAACATTTGTCTCAGGCCTCCGATAATTTTGAAAAAATTATATATATATATATACATAGGTCCCGAAAAAAAAATTGTAGGCTTCCAAATTCGTTAGAAAAAAATGAAAATTTTAAAATATCGCAGGCTCCCAAAATCTCAAGCCTGCCCTGCGCATCGTTGCTAAGATATGATGTTTTTAATGATATGTTTTGGGTTTTTCAGGCACAACCGATATTTAGAGACCCGAAACGGTATCCGGATATGGCGGATCCTCTCTTGAAGAAGAACTTCTCAGAGAGAGGGATAAACCAAGCAGTGGCTATAACATCAATGTGTCTACAAGAGGAACCAACAGCTCGTCCTTTGATAAGCGATGTAATGGTTGCGCTTAACTTCCTTTCAATGTCTACAGAAGATGGTATTCCAGACGCTGTGCCAATATTATCTTTCAGGGACAAGAGCATGTCCATTGCTTTGAGCAGACACGGTTCTTGTTCTGTTACTCCCTTCTCTCTTCTTGAAAAAGAGGGAGACGATGACTCGTCCAGTGTTTCATCAGAGTCAGAAGATGATGAAAAGAAAGAAGAGTCAGAAGGAAGTAAGAAGAAGCAAGAGGAGGATTCAGATGATGAGTCTGGTTCAGACTCTGAGAAGGGTCAAGAAGAGGAGCAACCAACTCCGTTAGAGAAACCTGAAAGCTCAAGAAGCAGTTCCTCTGACTCTGGAAGCGAGAGAGCGAGTCCTATTGATGAAAGTAACGCAAATGCACAGAGCTTGGAGATAAAGTATAGTTATAGCTCTGAGGAAGAAGAAGAAGATAACGAGAGGCTAAGCAGTAAAAGCAGTTTTAAATCAGACAAAGAATGCACTTCTTTTGAGTATAATCACGATGATTCGCCAAAGAACACAAGTATGCGGATCAATAGTCTTTCTCATGATAATCATAGTGATGATGATGAGGAGGAGGAGGAGGAAGGTGAGGAGGAGAAGGATCATGAAACTCGGCTTGAGCACATTCATAGCTCAAAATCTGAAGCCATCAGTATGTATTCAGATGATGATGATGATGATGCAGGCGAGGAAAGTGGTGAGTCATCTTTGAATAGGGTTGTTGAACCAGAGAAAGAAGACCACGATTCTTCTGATGAAGACTGAATCTTTGTCAAAAGTTTTTCACTAAAGAAAGTCATCTTTGAGCACATTTTGCAACATGAAAAAAAAAATGTTTCAATTTTTCGTTTTGAAACAACCCAAATTGTCACATAAATCTAATATACATAATGTTACACTTTTATGTAAATATATCTTGAATACTGTATGTTAGGAAGAAAATGTTTTTCAATACATTTTATCTAACCATTTGTTTTCTACAATCCTTTCCATTCTTTATTGATTTTGTAAAATTCAAGAATATTATTCGCTTAGAAATCAATGTTACACCTTACTAGGTTAATGAGTACTCAAATCTGTCAGTTATTATGATATGGTTAGTTGCAGTTTAGGACAGGTTGTCTTGTGGAAAACTTGAGGAAAGTTCAGAACTGGTGCTTATTATCTGTTCTTGAGGAATACCAGAAGTGTACAAAACGAGATTTAAGGTTCATAGAGGATTTTGATGTGCTGGCATCAAGGCAATGTCTATACAGCATAAGTAATATATCAGTACAATGCTTATTTTGTATCAAGAAGAGAATGTTTTACTAGTACAGCAAAAAAACCTGAAGCCACCAAAGGGTGAAAAAGAAGTTTGAAATCGGATTAATTCTTTTTCCCTCTCTCTAGATACTGATTGTTTACATTTGTCGAGATGGTGGTGATTCTTATGAGTTTTGAGTAGTTTTTAACACTACAGAAAACAGAGGACTTCAGAAAATTTGCAGATGGGGTTTTAAGGTGACAACACATGTGGCTTTTGTTTTCTTAATTTATGAAACAAAACTTTTTTTTGGCAACACAAGAAAATTTGAAGCATTGATTGTGGTTTGCTTAAGCCGTAATATATAGAGTGGGGTTGGAGAAACACAACATGTAACTAAGTCCACTTTCAACTTGATTCGGATTCTTAAATAAAAAAGGTAGCAAATGTGCATCTTGGTGCTGCACAAGCACGATGAGAATTAGAACCATTCTTTTTCAAATGAAAAGAAAACAAGACCGCATCTAACTAGTCCAGATGCTTTGAAAATCTTCCAGCTTTTAACAAAAAAAAAAAAAAGAAGCAAATCCACTAACACAAGAGCAAAATGTACATCTCAGCTTTTCAGACATCTAATCAAAGTACTAATCTCTTTTTTAACTCTTACTAAAATCCTCGCAAATTTCACCAAAAGATAGGCTTAATTAGGGTCTTACCTAACATGTAAGATCAGAAACAGATATGATTTTTTCAGACATCAAACGAAAATACTAATCCCTAATTGGTTCAATATGAGTTGGCTAAGCTTGTCCTAATGATCATGGTAGATGCTGGTCCTGTAAGAGCAGCTTATTAATAAACACTCATATCTAAACACATAACAGAATGAACTCAAAAGAACCAAACCCAAACCTCCACATAAGTTAGAAAACATACGAATCTTTATAACAAATATCAGTTTACTTCATATAATACGCATAACAAAAGATAACAACTTTTCTTTAAAAAAACGCAATTCGATAATACAAAAGATTCACTTCTTGAGACTTCCTCTGATCCCAGGCTTCGGTTTAGACGACTCAGCAGGAGCAGAGAGAGCCTCGTGGAGATTCCTCGGCTCCTCGTAAGGCAGCTTCGGATGCTTCGACTCGTGATGGATCTGCATCGTCTTCAGATCAGGCGCCGTGATCTTGCAGTGAGGACACTCGTACTTCGCGTGCCCTCCTTTCTCCTTACCGGTCCTGTCCGCGAGCCCCGCCTTTCCTCCGCCTCTGTTGGTTAACGCTGCGTCGGCTTTGGCTTGGAGCTCCTTCGCCGTGTGCTTCTTCGGCTTCGCCTTGCCTGTCATCGGGGGTGACGAGAGAGATTGAAAATGGGAAACCCTAACCCTAATTTTTGATTGGGGGAGAGAAGAGGATTTTTGGTGGCGACGAGTGGTTCGATGCGGTATTAAAAAGGAGAGAAATAATATTAAATTAAAATAATAAGGAGAATTTATCCTCTTTTTTTGTCGAAGGTTTTTATATGTTGCAGTACGGTGCACATTACGAATTTGCTCTCCCTTTGCTCGTCATCATTAAATAAATAATAATTATCTCTCTGTTTTATATTAATGTCACAAGATAATTTTTTTTCATTTAAAAATAAATGTTATTTTCAGTTTTAGTTTATTTTAAAATTTGATTATACAATTTATTTTTTATTGATTAAAATATTGTTAGATATATAATTGTGTTTTTATATAGAAATATGTAAAATTAATTATTTTTAATCTATATGAAAAGGGTAAAATGATACTTATAATTGAATATAGGGAATATTAAAATATAAATAAGTTTTGTAACAAAAAAAATGCATCTACCAAAAGTAATTCACCAAATTAAAAGTGTTAAAATTTATTAAACTAAAATTTACTTGAATCTTAATCATAGTTTAGTTCAGTGTATTTAAGTATAACCTACACTAAACAACAATAGAAAATATATAATATAAAATCTCTTTAGAATTGTAACATAATTTATATGTTAGTTAGTAAAACTTTCATCAGAAAGATTTGGTTATTTTTTTATTATAAACTAATTATGATATTTGTATATTCGTAACAAAAATCATCTCTACTTTTTTTTTATCTTGAAAAAAATTGAATACCAATCTAGCATACGTGACACATGACTATATACTCTGTAATTATTATCACTTTCATGAAATTAACATGCTGAAAATGGAACTAAAATCCAGACCAACACTAATTTATTTTGTTCATTCGTGCACATTCAGCATGAGCTCACTGAAGCGACGTGGCGCTAACTCAAGAACACCAGCCACCACGTTTCAAAATTCTCATGCAGATGCATAAAAACTAATAATATACAAGACAGCGACGTTTATCTATATCATATCATAAACACACAAACCGTAAAGAATCTTGATTCTCAAATTCCATCAAACAAAACTTTTTTTCAAGAAAAACAAACAATGGAAGAACTAGAGATAAACCTCAAAATCCCTGACCCATTACGAGCCGATTGGTTCATGGTTCTTGTAGACATCCAAGCCGATCTCATCTACAACGCACTCGTCGTCTTAACCTCACCTCTCTATCTTCTCTACCGCTCATATAACCGCGCAAAGGCTACAATCTCCACCGCTGAAAGAGCCCTTAAACGCGCCCCCTCGAGGATCAAAAGCGGTGCAGCGGGGGTCATTAGAAGGACATGGTATGGTCTAATGGGTGCATGCCACGTCTCGATGGTTATGGTGTTGGCGTTGATCGTGGCGGCTGTTCTCGGTGTTGGGATTGTGAATTTGTATGTGGAGAAGCCTGTGGTTGTTAGAGAAAGACTCTTCTTCGATTACACTGAAGAGAACCCAAGTGCGGTTTTTAGCTTTGACAAGAAGAAGAAACCGTTTGGTGTTCCTGTTGGACATAAGGTTCATGTCTCTTTACTTCTGTGGATGCCTGAATCTGATCTTAACCGAAAACTTGGGTTATTTCAGGTAATTAAATATTCTTTATTATATTAAAAAAAACTATGAGAAATGTTACAAAAACGTAATTATTAACCAAATGTTTATACTGAAAGAGTGATTTCTTGATTTTTGACCCAAAAAAAAAAAAAGTGTTTTCTTGATTCATTTTCTTGTGTGTTTCTTGAAACAGTTAAAAGTAGAGCTTCTCTCATTAAAAGGCGAGATAATAGCTAGATCAAGCCAACCTTGTATGCTACGCTTCAGAAGCAAACCAATAAGACTAGCAAGAACATTTGTGATGAGTGTTCCACTCGTTGCCGGCTTCGCAAACGAAGCGCAAACAATGAGAGTAGATGCTTTAATACACCAAGAGAAATGGCCAAGAACAAAAGCAGTGAGAGCTACTCTGATTCCACGTGCACAGACTCGGTTATTACCTCAGTTGTATGAAGCTGAGATCGTTATAAACTCGAAACCTCCATGGACTAAACGAATGGCTTATAACTGGAGATGGACTCTTTGTGTGTGGACTTCAATGTACTTATACTTAGCTATTTTAATGACGCTTCTATGGTGTTTTAGACCGGTTCTATTCCCTTCAAGAACCATTGTTGAGACTGAAAGATTAGAGATGGAAGTAGTGGAAGAAGAAGAAGAAGTAATGCAAAGAAGAATGGGAGAAAGAAGAAACAAGCCTCGTAGAAGAACTTTCATTACCACACAAGAAACTTATACATAGTGTAATCATATTATTGTTTTTTTTTGTAAGTTCTTAGCTCTGTAATAAACAGGCAATTGTAATAACTGTAACATAACCAAGTTCATGTGTTCTTAGAAACTGATACCAAATGCAACAAAAACACACAAGAAGACTAAACCATTTTGTATTTAAACGGATAACTCAACGTGAGAGACAAGAATGCCATCAGTATCAGCATAAACCCATTCACCATCACAAATCCGAGTCCCAGCAACATTAACCGGAACTCTTTGCTCTCCAAGTCCCTTCTTACTAGCCTTTATTGGATGAGAAGCCAAAGCTCTGACCCCAATATCACAACCGTTGATCTCATCAACGTCTCTGATGCATCCGTTCACAATGATTCCCGCCCATCCGTTGTTCTGAGCTTGAACCACAGGGTTGCCTCCGAGTATCGCACATCGTTGGCTCCCTCCACCATCCACCACAAGTACTCTTCCGTTTCCTTATAAACATCATCCAAACACATTTTTTAAAACAATTTGTTAAAACAAAGTAAACAACTATGTGCTTGTGTAATTACAAAATAAGTCTTTCTCTTTGTCTCTGTTACAAATAAAGTTTGGGTTTTTTTTTATAGAATGATTATTATTACCTTTCTCTTCGAGGAACTGACGGATCAAGCCATTGTCTTCAAAGACTTTGACAGTAACAACAGGACCTGAGAAAATCTGTCTACGGCCGTAAATCTGGAAAATGGGTTGCAAAGCTCTGAGCTCACCACTTCGAATCAGGTCTTGATTCGCGTCACAGACTTCTGCAGTTGTCACAAACGCCATCTTCTTCCTTTTTTCTCTCAGATATGATTAAAAGGTTGGGACTTTGAGAATGAATCAACCTAGACAAATCTTAGGAGCTGATCATATGAGTATAGTACACGTAACTGGCGATTCTTTTAGAAATACATAAGGCAAGAATCTGAAAAAAAAATCGAACTTTTGATAGCGTGAGTATATGTTCGAACAAACCCACAAGGAAAAATACAAACTTTTTGAATCTAGAGGAGTTGTTAGATCAAGTCTTGTTACCTGGATCAGACCAAACTCAGATGCAGAAACTAAACTCTTTAACAGTGTTTACTATTACAGAGAAAGTATGTAACTTTTTTTTAAGAAGAAGACTGTTTAAAACTAGTGAAGGAGTTTTGGTATTAGATCAGATCAAAGGTAGTGGTGAAGGAATCATGAGATTACTTGACAAATCATGTGGTCTTTAATTTTAGTGTCTCCACCTTTTTGTATCTTTGTTCTGTTGTCTTCTTACTTTTATGTTTGTCTGTCTTCTTAACATGTTTTTTTTTTTTTTTACTTTTGTTGTAAACTGTAACTCAAGAAGTAAAAAAATATATATTAAATTCAAACAATTTACTTCATATCCTTGCAAATGGTAGAAGATCTTGTTGCCAGTTTTTAAAATCAGGAATCAAATAGAGAAGAGGGAAAGATCCAAAAGTTTTTAGAGCTTGTGAATGGTTTTCATGTCAGCAGCTTCAATGAGAGTTCCTTTCTCAACATGATCCCACCACTTCATCAAGAAATTATCAACCACCAATCTAAACCATGGAGAGATTTTCACAGCTTCATCACCTGCATCTGCTTTCTTCACCAGCTCCTTAAGCTCTTCCCTGCTCACATACTTGATATCAGCCACTTCGTCTGGGTTTGGTTGAAGCTTCACATCACGGACGATGAAAAGTAGATAGTCAACTACAAAAAAAAACCCACATTGGCTTTATATAAATCCAAAGCTTGTGGAATCAAAATGAGTTAAAAGGGAGAAATGATTACGTTCGTGCTCGCCCCATTTGCCATCAGAAGGGGCCTTGTAAAGCATGCGTCCCAAGGGAGTGAACTCATTGACTGGTACATCTTCAGCTACAACACCGAGCTCATCCAGAAGCTTTCTTTGTGCAGCATTTCTTACACCTGGACAGTAAGTAAAGGTCAGTGAAAGCTTCAAAATGTTTCGTAAAGTAAGAACTAGTCTTAAGCGTTTCCAGGTAAGATACCTAGCACGTTCTCTTCAATCAGCTCAGATTCACGGTAAAGAGGATGGCTGCAACAAGTGTTTGTCCACACAAGTGGGAAAGTAACCTTTGTTTTTGACCTTTGCTGTCCACAAGAGAAGAAGATAATTTCAGTAAGATGGCTTAGAAATGAAGCAATTGTCTGCAACCATTATTTGATAAAGCTATGTGATTTTCACAATCCCTTGAATCTAGATTATGACCCAATCCATTGCCTTACTACAATAACTTCTATTTCTACAAGTGTCTATTTTCAGAAGTTACAGAACCTATCTTTTTTTTATGGACAACGTTACAGAACCTATCTTGTCTTTACAATATTTATTGTAATAAGTTTCTTGGAGCACTAAAAGTGTCATATTGAGCATATCATATGAACATAATCTTAGAAATGGATTTCAAAACCTAGACATAAGAGTCATCTTCACATGAAGGTGATGATAAAAAGCAAAAAACCTGGAGAAGCAACTCATATTTGGAGTTGAATAAGAACACACTGAAAGCCCTGTGAAGCAAATTCTCAGCTTCAATCTTTTCCATCAGATGACCTGCCAGATTTGATGAAGGAGTCAGCATTATCTAAAGGATCAACAAAATTAAACACTTTTAGAGACTCAAACTCTAACTAGGTTGATACTATTCTACTAAGCAACCCATTCCACGAGACATCAGCCACAAGCACATGTGTTCAAACAAGAAAATGGATCCCAAAGTGCAAGCTGATATTAAATAGAGAGTTCAAGTTCACTAACAGTTGTATTTGGTGTCATGGCCAACCACACGATCATTTTCATCAACGAGAATGCATCTGCAGCCAAAAAAAAAAAAAATAGAAGGAAGTTTGAATTGAATAAATGATCAAAGCCTCTATGTGAATTACATACATCAGCTACGAAGTAGAGACTGGATAATATAAAATAAAAGCTCGCTTAAACCCACACCAGAGCAAAAAAGATTCATCCATATTCAAGTAGAACAAGCTCTAACATCAAGCAACCACCCAAACTCGCTGGTGTTTTCAGTAATTTCAAATCAAATTAGCAGTATCCAAGGACAAGAAAAGCAACATTTTTTTTTTCTTTGAGCTCAACATCTTCCTCAAAACATATCACTATGTTTATGTTTTGTAATGAGAGGAAAAGATACTGAACAGAGTTCTACAGGGTTTTGTCTGAGCTTGTAGTTCTTCTCAGTTAGTAAAGTAATAACCTTTTAAATATGGGTTCCTTAAAAAAATAAAAAAGTAATCGAGAAAATCTCAACTCGTCCTCAAACATGAGTCGTCTCTGAACAGCATCCATTCCAGCATCGTTGGAGTCAGTCATGGTGACAGGCTCAGAAAGCGCGAGATGACAAGTGGATCCCAGAAAGACAGAGGGGGACGAATAGGGAAGATAAAAGGGAAGAAGAGTCGAAACAAAGGGAAACTATATTTACGGATACAGACATTTTGATGCTTCTCTGTTTCTGTTTTTTTTGTTTCTTTTTAAAATTATTAATTGATGAGCCGTACTTCGCGCAATATTTTTGAATTACTGTTACAATATTGTTGTTAACTGATAGTACAGTTAAAAATAAAATTTCACAAATAGCAAAATATTAAATTATATTTTTATTGATAGATTATAAAAAAAAAAAATAATTTAATACAATATGTTTTATCATCTATATTACACTATTATTAACTACAACAGAATTTAATATTAGTTTTTCAATTTCTCAGATCAGACTTTTTTTTAGGTGTATGTATAATGTAACAACTTTGACTAATGTAACAATGATTATTGGAATGGTTACAGTAATTCTCATGGATGGTTACTGTAAGATAGCTTGAACCAGAATCATGAGTGGCTTGACTCGCTGCGTTTCTTCCCTTTTGAACTTCATCTCACACAAAGAGCCTTTGAGCCTCTATGCTTTGTTCTATCTCCTAATGTGTAAAGCAATTTATATGTCAGTATCAAATGTGTATATATCATACATAAACCAAAGTCAAGAGTAAGATCGATACCTTCTCAAGATCGTTAAGCCTTTTGAGCATTTAGTACTGACCAGAGTCTCTTGCTTCTTCAAGAACCAGAGATTTCATGCAACAGATCCTTAAGAACCATCACTCCATTGTCTAACTCACCAGCAAATTTCCTCAAGAAAAGCTCCCAACATTCTCTATCAACTTTCCCACTCATAACACCCATAGACACAATCTTAATCGCATCCTCTTCTTTCCCCGACTTCTGCAACCCCTCAAACAATATCAAAAACGTCGTCTTATTAGGAACACAACCATTCTCCAACATCTCTTCAAGAACCCTCACACCTTCCTTAACATTCCCCTTCTTGCACAACCCTTCAATCAAAACATTATAAGTGAAAACATTCGGCTTACACTTCCTCTCAACCATATCGTCCCACAACCTCCCCGCCTCAGTCAACTCTCCCTTCTCACACATCCCACAGATCAAAGTGTTATACGTCATTAAACTCGGAATCGAGCCTTTCTCAAACTCATCAAACAACTTCCTCGCCTCTTTAACCCTCCCATCCTTACAAAGCCAATGAATAAGCGTACTGAGAAGCGCATTATCAGGCATACAATTCCTCTCCAACATCTTCCTCCACAGACTACACGCCTCATCAACCTTCCCATCCTCGCACAACGCGTCGATAACTTTACAACAAAGAGAAGAATCCGGCATGAAACCTCTCTCAAGCATTTCATCGAACATGTTCCGCGCCTCTCCCGCTCTCCTCTCCTTACACAAACCCCTAATCATAACCCCATAAGTCACCTCATTCGCCTCAACCCCATTCCTCTCCATATCATCCATCACCTTAGCCGCCTCACAAAACCTCCCCAACTTACAATACCCATCCATAAGCACAGTGTAACTAGTCACATCAGGCTCCCACCCACGATCCAACATCTCACCCAAAACCCTCTCCCCACCTTCCATATCCCCTCTCCCCACATACCCACCCAAAACCGTCGTGTACGTCACGAGATTCGGCACCAAACCCATCTCAGGAATTTCGTCGAGCAACTTGTAAGCACTCTCCACATCGTTCTTCTTACACAAAGCCTTAACCAAAAGATTACAAGTGAATATATTCGGTGTTATCCCGAAACACTCTTTACTCTTCTTAAACACGTCGTGCACCAAACCAAACCTCCTGTTCTGTATCAAAACGTTTAGAACCGTGTTCAACGACCGCACGGAGCGTTTCACGTTGTAATCAGGGATCCGGAGGAAGATGTTTAGAGAGGCCTCGACCCGACCCGCGAGGCCGTAGTTTCGGAGCAAGTCGATGAAGAGATTCTCTCCGCATTTGATGTTGGAGTTGCGGAGGTTTGTCATGAGAGGCTCCACGGGGTGGAAGGCGCGGGCGCGGGAGAGTTTGAAGAGGATGGAGTTGTAAGTGTCGTAGTTGTGAGTGAAGCCGGGGTGGGATTTCTCGGCGTAGAGGAAGATTTGGAGAGCGAGGTCGGTGTTTTGTTGTTGGGTGATCATGGAGGCTAGACGCTTTGGGAATAGACGCTTTGGCCATGGTTTGATTGGTGGGGTGTTTGTTGTGAGGTATTGTTGGAGAGGGGCAGCGGAGGAGGAGAGGAGGCGGGAGGGAAGGAGTTGATGGAGGCGCGTGGGGTTTATGTGGGGGAAGAGCATCGTTGGTGGTTTTGGTAGCGGCGAGTTGACGAGGATGTGTTTATCTCATTAGGACAAAAGGTGACTGGTATGGTTTTAAAAGTTGTCTGTGATTATTATTTCAATAAACCGGAGATTTTCTTTTTTTTTTTTGGAATTTTTAAGGAAGTTCGGCCTTGGTCCTTAATCTCCCTTGGACCAGAGTCAGGATCTAATACTATTAATGACGTAAAGCACTCTTCCCACGATAGATCGAACTCAGAAGCACAACAGCACCAACGTCTGCGCTTAAATCAACTGGACTGCCACATGGTAATAAACCAGAGATTTGATTCGTCTTTAACCGGTTTGATTAATTCACGTAAGGTATGATTTTAAATAGTTTAACAAGCAATTAGAGCGTAAAGGCTGCTCCAGACACATCATCATGAATCTTTGAGATGAGTTTACGAAAAACATGTTTTGTTTTGGTATAAAAGGACAACAAGGTGGTAAAGGAAGTGACCGGGGCAAAATATGAAGACTTACATTGTTTCATACATTTTAACCAAAAAATTTTCATTTTGTCATTTGAATGCAATCGTTGTAACATAATGTACTTTTTACCCCTATAGTATGTACACTCGACATCAATTTCACCCTGCCAATTATAACTCCAAATATTTGATTTAGCAATTTTCACTACACTTAGGATCTGATTCTTCCGCCATCATCCGCAAACGCATCGTTGTAACATGATTTTTGCGGTTGGTAATGATTGTTGGTGTTTTGCAACAATTATAGAAAATGTTATAAACCGTTTCAAATCGTTCCGAATCTTTAAAACTCAAAACCAGGTTTGAGCTAGTGGGAGGAAAAAAAATATTTTTTTTCCAGAAAACTATATAAATATAAAATAAAACATTCAATTAAAATTCTAAATTAAAATAATTGAAATACTGAAATTTTATATTATAAATTTCCAAAAAAATATTTCTTTAATTTTTTAAAATTTAATAGTATGGTTTTATAAATAAAAAATTTATATTATTATAAAAATATTTATATAAATATAAATATTGCTAATTTATTACTTAATCGCTGATGTATTTAATAATAAATCAGTCATAAGTATCCCGCAAACGTAACAATTTTTAACCGTTGAACCAATCGTCTAAATCTCTTACTAACGCTCAAAATCGCAATCTCCCGCATCCATAAACGCCCGCAACTGCAACCGCAATCGCTGTGTTGTAACCGGTCAGACCCTTAATATATGTTTCTCTCATACATTTTAATTTAATTATCAGAATGAAAAATAGCCGAAAAAGATAAAAAGTGTTCAGAAGGATGGGGTAGCAGTAATACGAAAGTAGGCCTGGGCATAAAATCTGAAACCCGAAATCCGAACCGAACCCGAACCGAAAAACCCGACCCGTTATCCGACCCGAAATGTCAAAATACCCGAACGGGTCTTATAGGATGGTATAAAAAATCCGAACCCGAAGTGTTATTTAACCGAACCCGAACGGGTAACCCGAAATATCCGAAATTAATAGATATTCAGTTTAATGTTTATTTTGAAATGATACATACAAGAAATATTAAAATATAAATAAATACCTTAAATATATAATTAGTTATAAATAAGTACTTTGTAATTTGTTCATTAAAATAATAAATTTAGTTTATATGTAAGGTAATGCACATTGTTTACAAGTGATGTATGTTTTAATGACTAATTTAGCTTTTTTTATCAGTTTTATGTATGTATGATTAATTTATATTCAGTTTCAGTGTTTTTCTTTATGTTTTTGTTTTGAAATTTTGTTTTATACTTCGGGTATATCCGAACCGAACCGAAATAACCCGAATTCGAATGATATATGGTTAATTTACGGGTTTTATGCTGCAATACAAATTTGAACCGAACCCGAAGTGTTATTATCCGAACCCGACCCGTACTAGTAAAATATTAGAATGGGACCTATGAACATAAACCCGAAAACCCGAAAATCCGAAAAACTCGATCCGAACGCCAATGGGTACCCGAACACCGAGGCCTATACGAAAGTACAGATCAGAGAAGGACACGTGGCGAAATCTGGAAGCCTGAGTTATAATAATCTCACACATCTCTCACACGCTCGCTGGAGTGACCTAAACTAAACCCGATCTCCATCCAACAACAACAAGAAGTGGAAAAATGGCGTCTTCTCCGTTATCCCTCACCTCTCCGGCCACTTACGTCACGCAAACATCATCACACTTACCTCTCCCAACCACACGCTCTCGTCTCCCTCGCAGAGTTTCCTTCCGTCTCTCCGCCAAGCCTAAGCTCCGCTTTCTCTCCAAGGTATTACCATTACCAATTCCTTCCCCGATTCGTGCAATGCTGTTTCTATTTACTCAAAATCGTCGTCGTTTTGATCTTTGTCCTTGATGATTGATTCTAGCTTCTAGTTAATTCTCAGGGATGTTTGTTTCTTTAGTAGGCTAGTTTAATACCCTGTCGTAGCAGTTGTATAATTACATGTATTAAAAAAAAAGATTATGAGACACTGTTTCTCTTCTCTCAGCTTTATTCAGATTTTGTCTGAAAGTCAAATGTGTTCCAAAAGTACATTTATGTACCTTTCTTCATTTATATAAATATTTTGTCTGAAATAAAAGACTTTGTTCTGTCTTTTGTTATCTGAATTTTACAGCCTAGTCGTAGTAGCTACCCTGTGGTGAAAGCCCAATCTAACAAGGTAAGCTCTTTAGCTACTCATCTATCTCCAAAAAAAAAATGGTTAATTTCTGGACTCTTCTCTTGCCTATAAAGGTTGGTAGTGGTGCATCATCCAATGCTTCAGCTCCTGCAAAAACGGAAGGAAAAGATGAAAACTCATCAACTGATTTAGCTACAGAAGAGTCTATCTCTGAGTTTCTTACCCAAGTCACAACTCTTGTCAAGTAAGTTCAGTTCATTCCCCTGTTTTACCGCTTAATTTTTGTTAGCTATGATTTGAATACTCCGCGTCCAATCATGCATGCAGGCTTGTTGATTCGAGAGACATTGTCGAGTTGCAGTTGAAACAACTCGACTGTGAACTTATCATTCGGAAAAAGGAAGCTTTACCACAACCTGAGTCCCCTGCACAATATGTTATGATGCAGCAGCCGAACCAATCATCTTTTGTGCAATCTGTGGCTCCTCCTTCTGCACCTGCTGCCTCACCTGCACCTTCTGCTCCAGCCTCTTTGCCTCCACCATCTCCAGCTGCTCTAGCTAAATCATCGCTTCCCACTGTTAAAAGTCCCATGGCTGGCACTTTCTACCGTAGTCCAGGACCTGGTGAACCACCCTTTATTAAGGTTAGGATTTTTTTGCTAATTTTTGCAGCACATAACTGTACAGAGGTTTTAAGGACCTGTTCGTTTTGTAATTAAATTGCCCCTTATTTACAAAACAACAGAAAGGTAAGGAATGTGCTTAGTACATTCGAAAGCAGAAGAATGAAAACAACATATATATATATATATATATATATATATATATATATATATATATATATTCTGATAAGATAGTCCGCCAACTAAATGGGTTTGTCAAGGCAATTTTAGATTCTTTTTTGCATTTCACTGTCTAAAGATATGACTTTCTTGCTGCTTTAGGTTGGAGATAAAGTGCAGAAGGGGCAAGTTCTATGCATTGTTGAAGCCATGAAGTTAATGAATGAAATAGAGGTGAGTTCCTAGATCTTGTGATATATCTGAACTATATATTTAGTATTTTACCCTAACTATTTCAAATAATTTCTTACCAAATTGTTTTAAACTTACAGCTTATCAAGCTTGCACAAAAAAAAGATAACTTTACATTACAGTGTCAAAACTTTTTGATTCACTAGTCAGTAATATTCAGATGAACAAATACTTATGCTTAGCGTGTAACAGTCTTCAAAATCCTAGCTCTTAACTTACTTCTCACCTTTGAGTTTGAAAGGCCTGAGAATATCTACTTTTTTATCCAACTCTGAAACTTGAATTTCTTCCTCCTCAGTCTGACCAAACGGGAACCGTAGTGGATATCGTTGCAGAAGATGGCAAGCCTGTTAGCCTCGACACTGTAAGTTTTCTCATTTCTCTATCATTTGAAAAGAGAACACACTTTCTACAACTCTTAGAACCACATTCTCTGTGTGTTTACCGTATAAGAGATCTCTACTGATATCAATGTTATTGTTTTCCTGGTTTTGCAGCCTTTGTTTGTGGTGCAACCGTAGAATCGGCACCATGAGAAATGGAGAAAAGAGGCTATTAAAAAAAAAACAATCTCTCTGCTTTTGGTAAAACTACTTCTTGAGACTCTTCTGTCCTCTTCGTTGTTACCGTTAAAAGTCCGTTAGTTTCTTTTTCTTTCTAGTTTGATGAGTGAGTTGGTTAAAGAAAGATAAAAGCTCTGTTTTTCTTTATTTTTCTTTTCATAAACACGAATTCTTCGTTCTGTTTTATTGCAATTTTCCTAGATCAAAAATAAAACCTTCACTATCAAGATAGTGTTGGAACAACTATCAAGTGGGGAGCAGGTGATGCTGGTCTAGCTGTAACGAGTTTGGAGGCGGAAGCCAAAGCCCTTATAATGGCTATGCAAAATTTGTGGTCTGCAGGTTTTAAAAACATTATTTTTGAAGGAGACTCACAAGTTCTTGTCAACACTATCACGAACACACAAAATGATATTACACTGTCTAGTTTTCTCCAGGATATTTACTATTGGTCCACCAAACTAGGAGAATTACAACATGCTTTCATCAGTCGAAATGGGGAATCAAGCAGCTCATCTACTAGCAAAACGGAGTCCTCCCAATGGATTTTTTATTCTAAAGTATTTTAATTTGCCTTTTTGGTTAACACCATCTCTGTACTCAGACTTAATGTTTTCAAGTTAATAAAGTTCTAATTTCGTCGCAAAAAAAAAATAAAAAAATAAAACCTTCACATGTCGGCTAACTATTTCTTTGGGCTATACTGGGCCCGGACCGGCCCATATACCGTAAGAGCCCAACCTTTCCAATTAATAACGAAACTGAAATAACGAAGAACCGAGAAAGTCTCTCAAAGTAGAATTAAATAAAGTCTCTTCTCTGAAGAAACGGATTTACTTTTTACTTCTTCTTCCTCACAAAAACTGTCCTCTTCAATGGATACAACTCGTGTAGATCTCTTCTTCATCATCATCGCTCTCTTCTCCTCAACTCTCACTTCCTCCCTCCCAGACCCCTCCTTCTACGACTACCTCCGAGAAAGCAACCTCCCCGCGGGAATCGTCCCCAAAGGAGTCACAAACTTCTCAATCGACATCAAAACGGGGCGTTTCACAGTCGCTCTCCCCGTCCCCTGCGACGCGAAATTCGAGAACCAGTTCCACTTCGACTACAACATCTCAGGCGTGCTCTCCGATGGGAGGATCGGGAACTTATCCGGTGTGACGCAGAAGGAGCTTTTCCTTTGGTTTGCTGTCAAAGGGATACACGTGGATCCCGTGAGCTCCGGGTTGATCCACTTCGATGTCGGTGTCGCTGATAAGCAGCTTTCTCTGTCTTTGTTCGAGTCGCCTCGTGATTGTACTGCCGCGGAGGTTGAGCATCGTTCCGTTGATCTTTTTAAGCCACGTGGTGATCTAAAGGTTCGTTCTTGTGATTTAGATAGTTAGGGTTTTAGATTTTGCCCCAAATTTGGTTTATTAAATTGATTAGAATGTAAAATGGGTTTGGGGTTTAGCGTTTAGGGTTGTAAAATGGGTATTTGATTTTCCCCCAAATTTAGTTTATTAAATTGAGTATAAGAATCTTTGTAAAATGGGTATTTGATTTTCCCCCAAATTTAGTTTATTAAATTGATTATAAGAATCTTTGTAAAATGGGTTTAGGGTTGTTAAATGGGTATTTGATTTCCCCCCAAATTTAGTTTATTAAGTTGATTATAAGAATCTTTGTAAAATGGGTATTTGATTTTCCCTCAAATTTAGTTTATTAAATTGATTATAAGAACCCTTTGTAAAATGGGTATTTGATTTTCCCCCAAATTTAGTTTATTAAATTGATTATAAGAATCTTTGTAAAATGGGTTTAGGGTTGTAAAATGGGTATTTGATTTTCCCCCAAATTTAGTTTATTAAATTGATTAGAAGAATCTTTGTAAAATGGGTTTAGAGTTTAGGGTTGTAAAATGGGTATTTGATTTTTCCCCCAAATTTAGTTTATTAAATTGATTATAAGAATCTTTGTAAAATGGGTATTTCAGTTTCCCCCAAATTTAGTTTATTAAATTGATTATAAGAATATTTGTAAAATGCGTTTAGGGTTTATGGTTGTAAAATGGGTATTTGATTTTTCCCCCAAATTTAGTTTATTAAATTGATTATAAGAATCTTTGTAAAATGGGTATTTGATTTTCCCTCAAATTTAGTTTATTAAATTGATTATAAGAACCCTTTGTAAAATGGGTATTTGATTTTCCCCCAAATTTAGTTTATTAAATTGATTATAAGAATCTTTGTAAAATGGGTTTAGGGTTTAGGGTTGTAAAATGGGTATTTGATTTTCCCCTAAATTTAGTTTATTAATTTGAGTATAAGAATCTTTGTAAAATGGGTATTTGATTTACCCCCAAATTTAGTTTATTAAATTGATTAGAAGGTTGTTCAAAAAAAAAAAAAATTGATTAGAAGAATCTTTGTAAAATGGGTATTTGATTTTTCCGGTGTTCAAAAAAAAAAAAAAGGGTATTTGATTTTTCCCCCAAATTTAGTTTATTAAATTGATTATAAGAATCTTTGTAAAATGGGTATTTGATTGGGTTTTGTTTCTTTGGAGATGATTTGAGACTTGTTTTGTCCACTTTACTCTTTTATGATGCAGAAGCAATCTTCTGGAGATATACAATCGATATTTGGACCACCAAGGAATCGCTGGACAGTATCATCATCTTAGGTTTCTTTTGGAAAGAGCTGCAAATTTTACTGATGATGTCTATGGGTATGGTGTGTCTTTGTAAAAAGTCTGGCTTGTAGTTTTTTTTTTTTTTGTGGTATACTATATCAGTTAGTATCAACAGTATAAGCCTTCAGGGACTGGGTAGACGGATTTAGAGGGTTTGAGTACTTTTTTTGGTTTGTAATAGATTAGGATGTTTAAGACATATTGTATACATATATGCTGCGTGTGGATTTTTTTCAGACACTGGTGTGTTCTGTTGTTATCACTCTTTTTGTTTCGTGGATTTACGTTTAAGGAAGTTTATGATGCATGAATCGTTTTGTTTGTGGTGTAAATCAAAGTTGAGCTCACCAGCAAAAAGAAAAAACTTTCCTTTGGGATGTGAATTGATATCTCTTTCCAATGGAATATGACGACTAGAGTAATGAGATTCTGATTGTAGTTCAGAGACAAAGAGCAGATTAGTCACTGAGTGATGATGATCCCATCTAATATCGTTACATATGGGTGGGTTTACATCAAATTGAATTTTTCGTAGTGCAAAACTGAAGATAAGGGGTTATATCACTAGATTGTCAGATTTTTTGGATGTTTCTCATTTGTTTAATTAAACATGTTTTTATAAATGCGAAAGTCATTGTTGGTCCCGCCCTGCGCGTCTCTTGTCAAAGATGGCTTTTTCTACACGTCTTGTTCATCACAAGCGTGGTTTCAGTGGGGCCTTAATTTAGGTAAAACGTAAACATAATTCGCTTACATAAATGAAGAAGACAATGAAGCGCCTTAACTTTCATGTTTAAGCGTCTTTCCTCCCGACATGTTTGAAAGTGTTAATTAAACCTTCAAAAATCAACACAAAATTAAAAACGTGAACGGCAGGATTCGAACCTGCGCGGGCAAAGCCCACATGATTTCTAGTCATGCCCGATAACCACTCCGGCACATCCACATCTTGTCTGTTACTAAGTTATCAAAACTCACCTTAACAAATTAATAAAGTCAAAACTCTTTCTTCTTGTACCAAATACGGACTCAAAATTCTTTTCATTCACATAATAGTTTATTGCTAACTAGATTTAAAATCAAAGACCAATGCTACTTAGTCAAAATCATTTATCAGTTTTCACAACACTTCCAAAAGATGACGATTGGCTTTTACAGATATGCAACCTTATCTCCATTGTCGTCATCACGATATCCTAGATAACCACGAAACATTATAATATTATTCTATTTCATAATTTAATCACAAAACTCAACTCTGTTCATTTATACGAAGAAGAAAACTAGAAAGAAAAAAAAAACACACACACACAAGAGGTTATGGAGGAAATGAAACCATGCGCGGCAAACTCGCCGCCGTTGACTCCCTTAGGCTTCTTGGAGAGAGCCGCCACAGTCTACGGCGACTGCACCTCCATCATATACGGCTCCAAAACCAAGTACACGTGGCGAGAGACGAACCTCCGTTGCCTCCGCGTGGCGTCGTCTCTGTCATCACTCGGAATCGGCAAGTCCGACGTCGTCTCCGTCCTCTCTCCCAACACTCCGGCGATGTACGAGCTCCAGTTCGCCGTCCCGATGACCGGAGCCATCCTCAACAACGTCAACACGCGTCTCGACGCTCGCACCGTCTCCGTTCTCCTCCGTCACTGCCGATCTAAGCTCCTCTTCGTCGACGTCTTCTCCCGCGACCTCGCCGTCGAGGCGGCGGCGATGATGATGGATTCTCCGCCCGTTCTCGTCTTCGTCGCGGATAAGGAAGAGGAAGGAGGCGATGACGTGGCGGATTGGAAAGAGAGTTTCGGTTACAGTTACGATGAGTTTGTTGAGAGAGGGGATCCGAGTTTTAAATGGATCCGACCCGAGAGCGAGTGGGACCCGATCGTTTTAAATTATACTTCCGGTACGACGTCGGCTCCTAAAGGAGTTGTACACTGCCACAGGGGAATATTCGTTATGTCGATCGATTCATTAATCGATTGGACCGTACCGAAAAACCCGGTTTACTTGTGGACCCTACCGATATTCCACGCGAACGGTTGGAGCTATCCGTGGGGGATGGCAGCCGTGGGGGGAACTAACGTTTGTTTACGTAAATTCGACGCGCCGTTTATTTACCGTTTGATCCGTGATCACGGCGTCACCCACATGTGTGGAGCTCCTGTTGTGCTCAACATGTTGTCGGCGAGTCAAGACTCCAAGCCTCTTGAACATCCGGTTAACATCTTAACCGCCGGTGCTCCGCCGCCTGCCGCTGTGCTCCTCCGCGCGGAAGCGATGGGTTTCAAGATCAGTCACGGGTACGGTTTAACGGAGACCGGCGGTTTAAACGTGTCGTGCGCGTGGAAGCCGAAGTGGAACCGGTTACCGGCGAGCGAGAGGGCGAGGCTGAAGGCGAGACAAGGGGTGAGAACAGTCGGGTTTACGGAGATCGACGTGGTGGATCCTGGAACGGGGCTTAGCGTTGAGAGAAACGGAGAAACTGTCGGGGAGATTGTGATGAGAGGGAGTTCGGTTATGCTTGGTTACTTGAAAGATCCTGTCGGAACAGAGAAGGCTTTGAAAAACGGGTGGTTTTTTACTGGAGATGTCGGGGTGATTCATTCAGACGGGTACTTAGAGATTAAAGATAGGTCGAAGGATATAATTATAACGGGAGGAGAGAACGTGAGCAGCGTTGAGGTTGAGGCGGTTTTGTACACGAATCCGGCGGTGAATGAAGTGGCGGTGGTTGCGAGACCCGACGAGTTTTGGGGAGAGACGCCGTGTGCGTTTGTGAGTTTGAAGGATGGTTTGACTAGGAAACCGACGGAGGGAGAGTTGATAGAGTATTGTAGGAAGAAGATGCCAAGGTATATGGTGCCTAAGACGGTGTCGTTTCGAGATGAGTTGCCTAAGACTTCGACTGGTAAGGTTATGAAGTTTGTGCTTAGGGATGTTGCGAAGAAGATGGGCTCGACGAGGTTGAGTCGTATGTGATGTGAATTATAAAGTCTTGTTGTTATAAGAAAATGTTTATAATTGTGCAACAGCTTGAAACAATAATATGTTCTAAATGGCTCTATGTTTAAAAAAAAAATCAACAGTTGTCTAACTTGTTTGTTAAAAATTAAAATTGAAGAATTAAAATAAAACAAAGAATTAAAATAAATAAAAAACAAATCTAAGAATAAAAACCAAAATATAAGAATTAAAATTTAAATTTAAAACTTAACAACAAACAAATAACAAAAGAGAAGGTTAATGGCGATTCCAATCATTGTTTTCATGACTTTCGTAGCATCTTTTCTCTCAGATCTGACTTTTTTTCTATGTATAGTTTGTAATCCATTTATTATTCTGATTTCTATGTTCATCTTTATAATATCTCTTTGTTGTATTTTGATTCTTATTGTATGTGACATGATTGGATTTCGGCTTTGATTCTTGTTATTATGGTTTTTAGACTCTTCTAGTTATTTGAGAGAAGGGCATCTCTCCATCTAATATATTTTTTTGGCTTTTGTACATATAGTTTGTTTGACTTGGTGACATTTGCTTATTTATTGTGTTATGGTTTTTATTTTATTGTTAATACCTATTGATTGTTGTTATTTATTTCAGGATATGAACATCTTCACCTCCTGGAGGAGTGTTAGTGTTGGTAAGGATATACATGTCGATTGGTTGTTGGCATGAAAGAACTCCTTCGAGTTGGCAACACTTGCTAAATGTATGGGTTGGGGAGACAAATGAATGCTATCTACCGAATTGGCCTCCTATTTACTAGTGTTGATGACTCAGTCAATTTCATCACCTTCTTCACAAACACCAGTGAATCTGGTGTACATATGAATTTTAGAACAGTCCACTGGCTCGAAATGGTAGACAATGTCTTGCAAAATGGACAGTCACTTGAAAGTTCGGTTCCGTTAACTTACTTTTATTATATTTATAATATCTTTCTTATTCTTTGTGGTCTTGTTCTTATATTTTTTGTATAGCATCTGCCATTATTTATTATGAAAGACATAGTTGTGTATAGGAGTCATCCTAGTGAATACTCATCTCATACTCAATTCGAAGAGTCACTTATTGATCATTGGATTCATCCTCCCATTGCAATTGGAATTCCTTTATATCATTTGTTGTTTGAACGACCACATCAGCCTACATTTAGCTCTCTTTCTTTCCATGTTTCATTCTTTTAAGTGTTTTCTGTTGTTTAGTTGTTTAATTTTGTTGTTGTTAAGCGGGATTTCACTGCCCAACTTTGGAAGAAGTTAATTCCACTTGACGTAGTTATCATGTAATGCTCTCTACCAGCAAATCAACTAGGTGTGGTATACATTAGCCATGTTCGGCGGAAGATCGCTGCGGCAGTGGCCAGCGTCCAGAATTTAAAAGGGAAGATAAATAATTTAAAGAGAGAGAGAGTAAAAGATAGGAAGAAAATCTGTGGTTTATGACGCAGTTAGAAGAAGGAAGAACAAAATAATACGCTGCTTTTTTTAGCGTCAACAACAGCACCGGAAAGCTTTGATATTTCCGTCGCTGCGTCTTCCTTTTTCATTCTTGCGGTTAACAAATAGCTAAATTATGAACATTTGTTTGACGCTGACGCCAGTCGCTGCGTTTCCTAAAAGAACAGGGCTATTATGCTCACCTCTAAGATAATGTCCTATGGAGGCAATGTGGTTCTCTCTATTCCACTGGAAAAGTATGTTTTTTCCCACTTTGTGGAGCTTGTTGGTGTTCATATTCATGAGGATGAAATAAATTATGAGATCGAGTATAAAGGACATTCTTAAGAGGAGGATAATTAGAAGATGTTAATCTCTGTGTTTTTGAATTTTTCACTTGTATTTGGATATTAATCTCTTCTTTTTTTTACATTTCACTGCTTTAATATTTGGATAATTATTTTTGATGTTTACTAAGTTACATTTTTACAACAACTATTTGAATTTTAAACAGATATAACCATATTAAATATTATTAATCGTATTTAGTTCATTTTTATTTTAGATTTGTAAATATATTTTTAATTTATCATGTATTCCTTAGATAAAAATATTTAAAATAATTAAAATTTATTAGTTTAACAAATATATTTTTTGGATGTATTAACAAACGTAACTTATTAATTCTTAAATTAGTTATTTAGTTTAATTTTAGTTATAATATTAAGAAGAGATTAAATGATATCATATGGTAGATGGTGGATTATATTATTAAAATTATTTTGGTTCCATTTTTAATCTTTTGATGGAAACGTATATATAGCAATATTTTGGTTGTTTACTTTTAGTGTTTATTAAATTATTTAAGGACACTTATTTTTTAAGAATATATTAATTATTAGTTATTAAATAAAATATCGAAGTTAATATATATATATACATATAATTTCTATATTTTAGTAGTTTAAGAAAACATTAGGATAAAAAGGAAACTAAAAGTAAAAAATAATGAAACAAAAAGGAAAATAAAATAGAAAAACATAATAATGTGGCTTTTTTCAGATTTGGCGAGCATCTGGAATAACTAGTGAATTACAACTTTATTGTACCGCAATTGGCGGCATTATATGTATAATATTTTTAATTATTAAAGATAATATTGTAATTAACCATTCTAAGAATTAACATGAGATAGAAAACAAATTTCTCAAATACTATTATACCATTATAAAAATTAACGCGAACACATATGAACCTTACTTCTCAAATAATATTATTGAGATTAATCTATTTGGATATTGATCTCGTTTCGATTATCATTTAAGTTTTGTTATGCTCAATAATCATTATCTAGTATGAAAAACATAGAGTTAGCAAGAGAAAGTTTCAGTTGTATCTAATCAAAGTCAAAAGTTGATATAGAAAATCAGTGTAATACAAGATAAGAATTTGGTGTTTATGATGCGACGAAAAATTAAAAGCTTGCAAAGAAATTCGTAGAGTTCATATTCTAATGATAAAGAAAATCTTAGAAGAGAAATCATCTTTTTATTCCATCCAGTCTTTTTGTTATGCTATTTGTTGTGCTTCTTTTATTATATGTATTTCATATGTTTTTATATCAACTTTCGACAGTTTAATTAATAAATTAAGTTGTTAAACAAGAATTAATATTGAAAAGGAAATTTAAGAATTAAATACAAATCACGAGTTCATTTTAGTTCTGCAGTAATAAACTTGGAATCATGAACTTTTTGAACTCATTTTGGAGTCATTCGGCCTAGTAAAAAGAAGGCCAATTTTGCAAAGAGAATTCATGTGCTTCCCTAACCCATAAACCCAACAAGTGTTTCCAGGCTGAATGTATTATTTCATGCCAACAACCAACATAGCGTGTATGCCCTCACCAATAGTAAAACATATCTAGGAGGTGAGTGTGTCCACCTGAAATAAAATAACAACAATCAACATAACAAAGTCAAACAAAAATTCAGAAGCAATAAGAATAAAAAACAACCAGAATTAGATTCACAAAGAAATCACAATAATAAATGGATTAACAAACTATATATAGAAAAAAAAGGTCAGATCTGAAAGAGAAAATGCTACGAAAGTCATGAAAACAATGAATCATAATATGTCATCAAGTCAATCAATTGATCAAAGAAGTGCATGTTCGAATTGGGGCATGTGTTGGAGTATTCACTACGATGATTGATATGCACAATCATTGCACAATCTCACGACAATGCCTTGGCTACTGCTATAATTAACTCATGTTGTGAGAGACATGATTGTCCACCGTCCTAGTGACTACTCATCTTATGAGGAATTCGAAGAGACACTTCTAGATCATTTGACTCGTTCTACTATTGCAGTTGCAATTCCTTACTATTCGTCATTGTTTCAACCGCCACATCAACATATGGTTAATTCTTTTTTCTTTCATGTTTTTCCATGTTTTTTTTAGTTGTTTACTTTTGTTATTGTTAAGAGGGATTTCACTGCCCTTCTGTGGAAGAAGTTAATTCAACTTGGTCTACTTTTCACGTGATCTTCTATATTGGCCGAGGAACTAGGGGTGAGATACACTATGTCCAACTCTATGATAGTGTCATGTTGTGGAGGCAAGGTGGTTTGCTCTCTATTCCACTTGGAAAGCGAGCCTTCTCTCACTTGGTGGAACTTGTGGGTATCCATATCATGGATTATGAGATGTGAAGAGGAGGATAATTAGAAGATGTTAATCTTTGTGTTCTTTGAATCGTTCACTTGTGTTTGGATATTAATTTTTTTTTTATAAATATTCCACTGTTTTAGTATTTGGATATTAATCTCTATGTTTTTAGTATTGTATATTAATCTATTTGTTAGCAACATTATCAACATAGTGTTACCAAGATTAAATCTTGATTGTATATAATCACTAGACTGAAAAAGATAGAAACTTGTGTGACACTTAAACAAATCAAACATGACTGATCCGAGTGTTCTCTATTGGCCGAATTAAACCCAACACTGAAAATTGAAATGCAAACCAAAAGGCAAGAGCCATGTGTTTTGTAGTAAACTGGAAAGAGAGTAAAGTGAAAAACCTCACACAAGAGGCAAGAATCAATTCTTGGTCTCGCTCGCGGCGCTTCTAACATCTCTGTGTCTCTCAAGAAGATGGGTTTCTTCTCTCAACAGATCTCAAGAGATGAACTGAAACCAGGAGATCACATCTATGCAATGCTGAAGTGGTGCAATAATAAGGCACAAGACTTAACTTTATTCTGACTGCCACATCAAATAAGCACTACTACACACCCGTAAATTCTTTATATATTAATTGAGAAACCTTTCAAAAGTTGTAACCTTAAGTTTGTATTAATTAAAATATAACCACATCCTACGTGGTACTTCTCTATGCTTTCTATTTCAGTTTAGAAGGATTTTAGAGCACCTTATATGAAACATAGTTTTAAAACAAGGCACGTTGATCTCATATAAGACATATCAAACTAAATAATATATCAAACTAATCTTCTATATTTTCTTTCCTTAAATAAAACTTAGAGAATTACCTAATGTGATTAATATATATATATATATATATATGACTATTAATGATTTTAAATAATAAAAATTTGCTAACAATCTGTATATTTTATATCATTTTTGTTTATTTTTATTATAAAAATAAATTACACAACTACACTAATCATATAAAATTTTAGATTTTTTATATATGTTGTATTTTGAAATTTTCAGAACGAGTATAAATTACTAAAACTGTTAAAAATCTCACATAAAATTTTGTGATCAAGGTCTAATTTTTTGTATGATAAATTACAATGATTATAAAATCATATGAATAAATAATTTTATTTTAATAGGTTTTTCTGTTAATATATATATACGTTAATATATATATATATATATATATATATATATATATATTATATCGTATGAATAAATAATTTTATTTTAAACATAACTATAATTTAAATTTTAACTTAACTTTTTTATAAAATTATTTTTATTTAAAAATAGTTTTTAAAAATATAATTTTCTGATAGTAGTAAACAAATAAATAAATTATATTAAATTATTTTTGAAACTTTATATATTCTAAAAGCAAATATTCTACGAGCTGCTTCTAAAAAAAACATTAGGGAACTTGATAATGTTCTACCAATTAAATCATGTGACACTCCATTTATTTTTCATCACTCGAACACCAAAAAAATGAAAAAAAATATATATGAACCGGTTCCATCTAATTTTAAGTTTTGATCTAGAGTTCTAATTACAATTGTATATGATCATACATATAGATAATTATATAAAAATTCCCAAATTCCAAATACATATAAAAAATCATATGTAATTTTAAATTTGTCAACACTAAAATTTTATATTTTAATTACATACACTGTATGTCTTATCCTAGTAATAAGTAAATAATGACAACTTTATGTCAGTTTAGAAAAAGGAGAATGTGATGTTTATCATTAAAAAAAAGGAAAAAGGTGATTTCCGGTTTGAAAGAGGGATGATTATAAATAGGTTTCTCCCAAAAAGAAAAATTATACATTCATTCATTCTAGATCCTAAAACATAAAAAAGTAAAGCTTAATTACAGCGGCGACTAAGAGAGATCTGCCCCAAGACCAACGTAACCTTCTCCATAACTTGCTTCATAGTTTGCTTACGAGTAATCCCTTTATTATTCTGATACAATGAATACGATGCCTGGTGAAAAGATTACGTTGATACCGGTACCTGGTGAGGTGATTACGATGCCTGGTGAGAGCCATGTTGATATGCTAAAATCCTTCTATGACTTCGTCAAAAGCAAGTAAGATTCTTTTTTGGAGTTTCTTATACTTTTTTTTTGTCAACTTGGATCGTTTCTTATGCATGTGTTCTTATTTGATTTTTTGATGATAGGGTAAGGATTGGGGTCGAAGGGTACAACATGTCGTCGCTTCATACCCTTGATCTCGTTAGATCATTGGCGAAGCTTTTCGAGTCATGTGGAGAAGTCTTAGCCGTGCAAGTTCCGAGAGACTTGCAAACCAATGCAATTAACGGAAGATGTACTCTCGTTGTTCTCCGCGGAGAAGGTGCACAAGAGAAGGCATTGGCACTCGATGGAACTGACATGGGAGGATGGATCTTATCTGTTACAGTTTTACCTTCAGAACTTAGCGAGCTTAGTTCTAGTTCTGGTTTGAGTACCGCTGAATTGGCTGTTAGGCAAGTTGCCCATTTCGAAAGAAAAAGGTAAAATTTTTATATTCTTGCTTTCTCTCTTTACATTGTGTGTTTGTTAATTTGCTGACAAATCAATTGTTGTATTATTGCAGTAGCGAAGGCATTTCCGTTACAGGATATGACCATTCGCTCCCTGGTGATGTTGTTAAGAGTGATTTGACTAACCGCTTCTCTTCATGTGGGAAGATCACTGATGTTTTTGTTCTTAACAGGTTTGTTGTTTCTTCTTTACAAACCGTTTGTGATTTTTCCTTCCATCTAACCTTTTTTTTTTCTCTTTTGCAGCCGTGCTTTGATTTATTTTTTCGGAATAGGCGCAGTACACAAGGCGTTGAGACTTTGTCGGGAACCTGACTCGGTACACCGTGCTAAAGCCTTGCCAACACCTAAACGGAAAATTAACCATGAACCCGCCGTCCCTGAAGCTCCTTTTATATAATGTTGGAGCTATCTATCGATGCTTGTTTATGTTCTCGTATCTATGTCTCGATCAAAATTTGATGTTTTTGTGGCTATGTTTGAGTACTTATTTATGTTTCATCTAGTCTGTTGGATTTATGGTTACATATAACACACATCCTTGGATTTGTTTATAACATAAAAGTAACTGTATTTTGCCAAAATGTTACAGTGATTCTTCTAACAACTCCGAGTGATTTTGTATGACCCTTTCGTATTTTGCAGCAATGGCCATCATACCCAAAAGTAAAAAAAAGCTACGGTTTCTGAATTTTGAAATGCTACAAAAAAAAATCACAACATGAGAAGGACCACACGAATCTTCCCCTCATGACAGGACTGAACAAATCACTTAAGTATCTTTCGTAGCTATCTCACATGCTCTTAAAATGGGAAACAAATCCTCCCATTCAATCTCCTGAATGAAAAAAAAAAACAAGAGGAAGCATGATATATCTAGCTTAGCTGTCATTCTTCCTTTGGATTTGGACCTTCTGCATATGACTTCCCCTAATCTCTCAATATTTTTATTTTTATAATATTGGTTTTCTAATAACAATATGACGTTTGTTTGCGTATGGTTAAGTTAGTTATGCTCAATAATCATTATCTAGTATGAGCAGGTTTAAAATTATTATCTAGTATTATGTTAGTTAGAGCATCCGCAACCGTGAGACTCATACGAGTCTATAAGAAAAAAATATTTCAGATTTGATAAAGATATTTCGGATTTTTAAAAAAAATTAAAAATAAAACCAATCGCGAACTGCCATGTGTCCTGCAGACCTGCAAATAGTGTAATGATTTGGTAAGAAACAATTCTTGTTTAAGGATTTTAAAGATCAAATCCTTAAATTTTAGTAAAATCTAGTGATTATTTAATTAGGTTTTCCTAATGACTCCCGTTGGGGGTACTCTTATGGTCTTATTTCATTTGAATTAAAGTTTGACTCTAGCGTGCAGTGCACAAGGGAGTCTAGCTTGCACAAGAATTCGTTCCTCATGACAAAAATCTTATATGACGTGCATTGGTCGTTTATTCACTTCTAGACGATCCGTTTCTAAGAGTAACAACATCAATGAACTCTTGTGAACCCCTTTTTGTTATTATTTTTTCTCGTTTAAGTTTAAAAAAATAAAATAAAATAAAAAATTGGACCAATCAGTAACTACCTCGTGGTGAACCCAGATTCATGGGGATTCATGACAGTAAACTTTTAAGAGTGGAATTCACATAAATCTGATTTTAATATTAATTTTTATTTTAGGTTTGCGTGTGAACTCCCCCCATCATCACTTGATGGGGTGCTCTAATGTGCCGGTTTATCTCTCCGGTTTAGCTCGTTACTGTTTGGTTTCTATCAACCATTCGGAATTCGCCACCTCTTGAAATCTTTCCACAAGCTACCCACTACTGGCTTACATCGGTGATGCGCACCGTATCACAAATACAAGTTACATGAAAATAAGAAATGGAAAGATTCATAAACCGTTTATATTTAATATTTTTTAATATTTTTGATCTATAAAACTAATAGTTCTGTAAAACTAAAACTATTAGCGGCGACTAAGAGAGATCTCCCATCAACACCAACGTATCGTCTCCATAACTTGCTTCATAGTTTGTATTGATTGTTATATAGCTTATGAGTAATCCTGATGACTCGCTGATTCATTGTTTTGTGGCTCCTATTGATCTGAGAGAAGAGCATCCTCTCTCTCAGACCGATTTGGTTTTATCTATGTATACTTTGTTAATCCATAATATTCTGATTTCTCTGTTCATCTTTATAATATATATCTCTTGTTGTATTTTGATTCTTATTGTTTATTTTTTATGATGTAGGATACAATGAATACGTTGCCTGGTGAGAGCCATGTTCATGTGATGGAATCGTACTACAACTTCGTCAAAAGCAAGTAAGATTATTTTTTTTTTTGGAGTTTCTTAATACTTTTATTGTCAACTTAAAGTTTCTTATGCTTGATTCTATTACTTAGATTTTTGATTTTTTGATGATAGGGTTAGGATTGGGGTTGAGGGGTACAACATGTCTTCGCTTCAGCCCCTTGACCTAGTCAGATCATTGGCAAAGCTTTTTGCTTCATGTGGAGATGTCTTCCACGTGGAGGTTCCGAGAGACTTGCAAACCAATGCAATTAACGGCACATGTACTATCGTTGTTCTCCGCGGAGAAGGTGCACAAGAGAAGGCATTGGCACTCAATGGAACTGACATGGGAGGATGGATCCTATCTCTTACAGTTTTACCTCCAGCACTCAGCAAGCTTAGTTCTGGTTTGAGTACTGCTGAATTGGCTGCTCAGCATGTTTCACATTTCCAGAGGAACCGGTAAAATTTTTATATTCATGTGTTTTCTTTCTTTACATTGTGTGTTTGTTTGTTAATTTGCTGACAAATTAACTATTGTATTATTGCAGTAGCGAAGGTATTTCTGTTACAGGATATGACCCTTCGCTTCCTGGAGATGCTGTTAAGGTTGATTTGACTAACCGCTTCTCTTCATGTGGAAAGATCACTGATGTTTTTGTTCTTAACAGGTTTGTTGTTTCTTCTTTACAAACCGTTTGTGGAAATTGTGTCCTTCCATCCAACTTTTTTTTTTCGTCTTTTGCAGCCGTGCTTTGATCTATTTTTTCGGAATAGGAGCAGTAGATAATGCGTTGAGACTTTGTCGGGAACCTGACTCGGTACTCCGTGCTAAACCCTTGCCAACACCTAAAAGGAAAATTAACCGTGACCACCCCAGTTGTGGTCCTTTTATCTAATGTTCGAGTAATGTGTTTTATAATACATATTGAGTATACAACACTTTATATGTTTCATATCCGCCATGGCCACCACCGCGTACTACAAATCTCTCTGTTTTTGAGTATTGTGTTTTATAATATTGGTGTTTTTGATAACATTATGACATTTTGTTACGGATGGTAAAGTTAATTATGCTTAATAATCGGATGGTAAAGTTAATTATGCTTAATAATCTACTACTAGGTGTTTTGCCCGCACTTGCGGGCTTAATAATTTCCTAAAATCTATATTCAAATATAATCAGTTTAAGTAAATTATAATAAATTATTGTTCATACACTCAAAATATTTAATAATAATCTAAACAAATTCTTTCTATATATAAATTTTTTCATCATCATATAAATAATTGCCATACACAAATTAAATGTGAAAATATTCATAAATTTAAAATATTTAGTAATAAATTAATATCATTTTTAGACATAACAAAAAAGTTTAATAAAATTATCTTTAGTAATGTAAACTATCTATACATAAATTCTTTGCAAAATATTTTTTCATAACTTAATATATATTAACAAATATAATTATTTTTCAAGGTTAATACAGACTTATAACATGATTATAAAAAATTAGATAATGATAATTATCAAATTCATGAAATTCGTTTTTAATTATAATTAATTATATATTAAAAAATATAATTATTTTAAATATAATTATTTTAATGTTGATAAAGACATAATATCAAAAAATTAAATAAGGATGATTATCAAATAAATGAAATTCGTTTTTAATTTATAATTAATGATACATTACTAAAAATATAATTATATTTCAAGGTTAATAAATATTTTATAACCCAATATAAAATAGCTTTAGATAAAGATAAATCTAAAATCATTGAAATTCGTTTTTTACTTATGTTTAATTATATAATGAATTTTTTAATTATTATATAGTAATAAATCTTTTTTTGGTCAAATGGTAATAACTATTAGTCATTATATAGTAATAAATCTAGTTAGTCATTAAGTTTATGTTTGCTTTGTCATTAAAGGTAGTAAAAATCATAAGAACATGACAATTAGATTTACTATCCTTAATGGCGAATCAAACATAAACTTAATGACTCATTAGATTTATTACTATATAATTAATAATTCAATTTATTATAATCATTAGTCTAGATAATGATAATCATCAAATCATAAGAAACATGACAAATAAGATTTGTTTCTAATTATTATATAGTAATAGATCTAATTAGTCATTATATAGTAATAAATCCAATTAGTCATTAAGTTTATGTTTGCTTGTCATTAACGGTAGTAAATCTAATTAATATACGGTTCATAATTATATAAGAATAATTTTATTTAGTCATTAATTAAGGATAATAATTAATCATTAATCAAAATCATAAAAACATGATAAAAGAATTATAATTACATAAAATCATGGAGAATATGATAAATCAGCAAATTCACCTTTTTAAATATAATTAATTTATTGTTATTTATATATTAATTCAGTTTTAGTTTATGGTTTATTAATATCAACTATTTTTAGATAATAATAGTCATCAAATCAGTGAAATTTGTTTCTAATTTATGATTGATTATATGTTAATTAAATATATTTTCTGATAACAACACAATATATATAGAAATTATCTTTTTATTTTATTTTATTTTTAAATATATATTTAAATTATGGATAATTCTTATCATTATTATTAATTTAAATCATTTATCTAATCAAATAAATATAAACTCGTTTTTTTATTTTTGGCTGATTTATATATTTTATCCATTAAGGGTATAAACGATATTAATCACTACAACTCCGTTGCGAAAAATCACTTTGCAAATTTAAGTGAATTATCTGATTTGTAATTTCTCCATAATTTAGATAATTTTGATTATTTGTCATATTTTTAATAATTTCATATAAAATTTATTATAAAATAAAAACCAATTTATATTAATAATTTTATATTTTTCTAAAATAAGATAATTCTTATGTATTATGTTGTTATGTTGAAAATATATTTCCTATAATAAAACTTGATATTAAGATATAAAAATTATACAATTAATAATTAAGTATAAATCATCAAAGCAATTATTTGAAAAGTGAATTTGTTGATTTGTCTTCATGTTCCTAGATAATTTTGATCATTTATCAGAATTACTCTAATTTTTTTATTATTGATTATATAATTAAAACTAATTTATATTAACAATATGATATTTTAGAAAATAAGTTAATTCTTATTTATTATGCTGTTATCTCGAAAATAAATTTTTCTATTATAATATTTAAAATTAACATGTAAAAAAACTCTATACAATTATTTAAAAAATAAATTTAATGCTTGTTGATTTGTCATATTTTCCATGATTTTAGGGAATTTTTGATATTTTATCCTAATTTCTCTAATTTTATATATAATTTATTATATTTTTAAAACAAATTTATATTAATAGCATCATATTCTTAGAAAATAAGATATTTCTTATGTATTAAGTTGTTCTCTTGAA